TTCGCTCGCCAACAAATTGTCAATCTAAAGCCATTGAAAGCGGAATTAAAAATGCTTTGAGTTCCTAATTGCGTCTTACGCAGTATTTTCTGTTGGCTTTAGGGTATTTTCATCAGGACCAACTTTAAACAGTTTCAGTATTTTTTTTTTGCGCAGCCTTTGCACACTTCAGCCTGACTTTGGCACTTGTTAGTGTCTTGTAAGCAGGAACAAGTCAACTTGTTTTATGTCTGGCACAACAGAGTGCCAAGCGGGGGTGAGGCTGAGGGTGAGGGGAGCTGTACAAATACGCTTGCAGCAGCGCTACGCGCTACGCTTGACAGTCAAATGTGAGAGGCCGCGTGGCATGTCGCAGCTGGCTGCCTGGGGCGCCTATAAATTAAAAGTTGTCGGGCATGCGAACCATCAAAATTCATGAAAAGCGAACATAATAAAGAGAAAGCTGAAAAAGCAGCAAATTAAATCGTTGACAAAATCAAATGTAGCTAATTTGTGAGTTTTGCACGAGGCAGGAGGACAGCGCCAAAGGGCGGCCGGATTAAATTAAAAATAATATCACGTATACGTCACATCTGCCCATTAAATAATATTTGCATTTGCCATGTTGACATCCTGCCATGTTGTGTGTGTGTGCACGTGTGTGCGTGTGTGTGTGTGTGGGTGTGTGTGTGTGCGAGCGCGTGCATGCACGCGTATTTGTGCCTTTTAATTTAGTGCTTTTGCAATACATAATTGAAATTTATGCAATTCAAAAGTAAAAACAAAGTATACAAGAGCTCGCAAAATAAACAGAGCGAGCAACAAATTCTGCAAATTTGTTTGCTGCACTCTCCGAGCGTGCAATATACGAGCACTAGATATGAGCAAGTATTTGCATATAACTTTGCAAGTTGTCTATGTAGATATGTGTGAGTGTGTGTATGTGTGTGCTCGTGTTGCTGCTGCGCTCTATGCAACATGTCCAAAGGGCTTTGTCGACGCTCACACACACACTCACACAAATACCAATACACAGCGACTACATAACGAGCTGCGTCGATAAAGCACAGGCACAGTGGAAGCGAGCACTAAAAAATGGCAAAAATA